CCCTCCATGTGAAAGCAAACTGAGGCCTGCATTCTGCTGCCAGAGGAATGGAGAAAAATGCATTGGCAATGTCTATAGTGGCGTACCACCTCGCTGCCTTGGACTCAAGCTCGTACTGGAGCTCTAATATGTCTGGCACGGCAGCACTCAGTGGTGGAGTCACCTCATTCAATGCACGGTAGTCCACAGTCAATCTCCATTCTCCTTCAGATTTTCGCACAGGCCAAATGGGGCTGTTGAAGGGTGAGTGGGTCTTGCTGACCACCCCTTGGCTCTCCAGCTCACGGATCATCTTATGGATGGGGATCACAGCATCTCGAGTGGTTCTATACTGTCGTCGATGCACTATGGAGGTGGCAATTGGCACTTGTTGATCTTCTCCCATCAGACATCCTACTGCAGATGGATTCTCAGACAGCCCAGGCAAGGTGTTCAATTGCTGGATGCCCTCTGTCTCTACAGCAGCTATCCCAAATGCCCACTTGAGTCCTTTTGGGTCTTTGAAATACCCACTTCGAAGGTAGTCTATGCCCAAAATACATGGGGCCTCTGGGCCAGTCACAATAGGATGTTTCTTCCACTCATTCCCAGTGAGGCTCACATCAGCTTCCACCAAAGTGAAATCCTGGGATCCCCCTGTCACACCAGCAATAGAAACAGACTCTGTCCCCACATGTCTCGACGGAATTAATGTACATTGTGCGCCAGTATCAACCAAAGCTTTATACTCTTGTGGTTCCGATGTGCCAGGCCAACGAATCCACACAGACCAGAAAACACGATTTTCCCTGGCCTCTACCTGGCTAGAGGCAGGGCCCCTCTAAGCCTGGTTATCCTTCTTTCCCTGGGCATATGTCTTAGATGTTCCTTCAAGGGGATCAGACATGGCATCATCAGCATCATACCTGGCGGTTCGGCTACGGGCAACTGGAGCTGCTTTCTTCCTGGTGGCTTCCTTCAATTCACGCACCCGTCGTGCCAGAACAGCAGTAGGTTTTCCATCCCACCTCCTCATATTTTCTCCACAGTCACGCAGGTAGAACCACAGCTCTGTTCGTGGGGTGTACCTTCTCTGGCCATCTGGGGAACGTCTGCCTTGGATACCAGAACCTCTGATCTGTACTGCTGAGATTTGGAGAAGGTCTTCTTTAATCTCCTCTCTGAGCTTCTTATGATTCTCCTCTATCTTATCCTCTAAGTTCTGCAGACGTGTTTCTACCGCTGCAATTCTGGCATGTGTTGGGCCATGCACAGCATCTGCATATGCTCGGAGCTTCCTTGCCATATCCAGCACAGTCTCGTCCCTCTCATCCCGCTTCATTATGGCTAGGGCAGAAGCATATTCGTGTGGCCCAAGTCGCACAAGTTTCCGCCACATCACAGACGTGCATGGCACCAAGTCTGGGTTCCTAGTTGTCACATCATCTGAGAAGATAATCTCTGCCACTGCCATCTCTCTCAGGCGTTGGATCCCTTGCTCTATGGTCTTCCACTGTGTCTGTTGCATATAAAGATCATCTGCACACAGGTATCTTTGTGCAACACTTTCCAAGACCCGTGCCCAGAGGCTCTGAGGGTTTGCCCCCCTCATCATTCCTTGGTCAATGACAGGATCATGTGACAGGGATCCCAAATGCCTCGCTTCTGTGCCATCCAGAATTGTAGCCTCGCCTGCAGCATCCCAGAGACGGACTAACCAACTAATTATGGATTCATCAGGTCGTCGGGTGTAATCCTTCCGTAAGCCACGAAGGTCCTTCAGGGAAAAGGACTCAATATTTGCATCTGGTCTTGCACCTGCTGCTTTGACTCCTGATTTTATGTCAGGAGGCATTGAGGTTCCTTCTGCTGCATCATCATCATCATCATCATCCACTGGTCGATTGGTCTTGTCTGTGCATTTCCCACTTCTGGTACTGGTAGCAACAGCCATTGGTTTAGCTGCTGGCTTAGGCTCACTATCTGGTTTGGCTGCTGGCTTTGAGCCTGTGGTGTTGGCTGCAGCCTGAGTGACTGGGATAGCTGATTTATCTCCCTGCCCCCCTGCCTCCGTCTGCTGTCCTACAGTCTCCAACAGAGTGCGATAAGCATATGCCAGGGCCCAGCTCACTGCAATGACCTTTCTCTCCTTAGGCTCATCCTGGTATTTCTCTTTCAGATATTTCCCCACCTCAGCTGGGTTCTGAATTTGTTTATGGGGAAAATCCCAGACTATAGGGTCGGAGAATTCCTTCAGGATGTGGCCCATTTCCTCCCATTTCCCACACCACTCAGGATGTTTCACACCTGGGTCTACTCCTAAGTCAGGGGTCTCATCAGCCCGTCTAGAAATCTCAGCCCTCATTCTGGAGAGACAGCAGACTGTATAGAGGAAGGTTACCAGATTGAATACAAGAAAGATGGTTTCTCTAACATTCAGGGGAAACTGAACATCCTTTACTACTGACGCAACCGATTCATAGGAGAGGAAGGAAACCAAAGGCTGAAAAGCCTCATTCCCTGCTGCTCCTCCTCTAACAAACTGGACGAATAACCATAGCCAAGAACCATTCATACCTGGAGCAGACCCCAACATGTTTATAAACTTCTTGCACATCATTGCCATCAAGCCCAGCAGGATAGCCATTCTGGTCACTGCCCCTCTGCTGTAAAAACTACGTATGAGGGACAATACTAGAACTATTTCAGGATAGGAAAATAAACCTAGGGACCACAGAGGTATTAAAATCTCGAAAAACCCTAGGGACCAGAAGCACATGCAAGCCTTCACCCCAACACTCATCATGAATTCAAAAAGCATGGCTATTAGCTGCTTCAAACAGAGAGTAATGGCAACCAAAATACCCACAAAACAGGCTTTTTCCACTCACTCTCTCGAGCCCAGCGTTGGGCGCCAAGATTTTGTCGAGGTTTAGGGCAAATTTGGAGGAGAATCTCCAAATTAGGGCTCCTCCAGTTAGCAAACCCACACAGCCCCTCCCCCCAACCGGTTCGGGAAGGATTTCTCGGAGAGGAGTGGAAAGAACCTGTTTATTTAACAAGCACAGCACCCCCCAGCACACAAAATGAACAATACCGGATGACACCACTCTGAAAAAGATGACAAATTCAGAAAGTCTCTCTGGGGGTGGTCACTCTGGTCTCAGTCCCTCCGGCGCTGGGGCTGCTGCTGCAGGCCAGAAGGTGCAGGATCTTGGTGTTTCTCAGGTCCCAGTCCGGAGCAGGTTCGAAGTGATCAGAAAAAGGAAAGGAGAAACCGTCCAGGAAGAAATTGGACAGTTTAGCTGAATTAGCTAAAGAGCAAAAGCAAGCAGAAGCAAAGCGAGCAAGAGCGAGAGAGCAAAAGCAAAAAGCAAAAGCAGCAAAAGCAAAAGCCGCAGTCTCCGTGTCCCGCCAGGCTGATAAGAAAACCAAAACAAAACTTTCCCGCTTCAGAGCCGGTCTTAAAGGTACAGAACATAATATCCAATATTAACAGAACACATGAATGGGGATACAAGCATCATAACGTCACCCTAGGACAGTGAGTTTGATAACTGTCCAGGCTTTTGTGCATTTCCTACTGAATTTTCCATAAGCAAGAAATTAGTTTATTTTCTGCTGAAAAAAATAACATTCTTACCCACAAGTAGATAGTTTCTAACCTTTGCATTGGCATACAGCAGATCTTGTTGGAGGGGTTGTTTCCTTGTTATGATAAATGGAGACTGAAGTAATATCCAGCAATCATTGCTGAGCTTTTTGGAGCTGATGTTATAAACATAAGTGTTGCTGTGTGAATTTTACTGGAAAAGCATAGAGAGGAATCTTACAAGTCTTAAAAATCAAAGTTCTAATTAAAGTGTACCTAAAATATTCAGCACGAAAGATATGGAACGTGTTATTTCCTAGCATCAGTTTTTGTTAAGCCCAGATAAAGGTACAACAGCTTCTATGCTAAGTCAGGATGTTGGTTAGCAGCTGTAATAACCTGTAAGGAAGATAGCATTGTTATTTCTGCTATGGTTTTGATTCATAATGCAAAAGGTGTCATTTAGAGGGCAGATACTATAACATATGCACACCTTTTTGTCCAAAAGGCACCAGTAAAATTTTTCAATGTGTTCATCACTTTTCAACAGCTGTTATTAGGACAATATGGAGACCACAATTCTGAAAACTGTGCAGCCTTCCTGTATACCTCAGCTCTCTCCAGGATGCCCCTAAATGTCTCCCATACCTAATCCAGTTAACAGCACATGAAATCCCTTAGGGGACCACACTTGGCAGCCATTCTTTGTATTCAGGGAATGGATCTGGTGGCAGACAAAGCGCACCACTCTGGAGTGGCCGGAGGAGAAGGAGAGGAAGGGTGTTTGCAGGACCTAGTTCCCCCCTAGCTTGGAGCAGATTCCTTTTGTTCATCTTTCCATGCCATGAGAGAAGATATAGTATCTTGTAAATTTGATTTTCTTTCTTTTCTTTACCAATCTTTACAGATCTTTCTCTAGATCTGTACATGCCCTGTGATAGCTTATTCTGCTTTTGACAATGTATATTTCTAAGTTAAAGCAAATTGTTTACTAGAAGAAAGAGATCAAAGATATTATTATAGTAAGGTTTCTCCCCAGAGAGGCTTCTTTTCTAAAAGAATAGACTGACAAACACCATGTTCATTTAGTTTCCAGTTTTGCTCTCTTTATTTCTTCACTCAGACTATTTAGCTACTTTATTTCATTTCCTTTTTTAATCCCACAAATTTATGGGAAATTTATGGGATCATGCTTCTCTATAGCAACATTAAAAAAAAATCACACTGAGCATGGGATGCAAGAGTGCTGAGTTAAGGTTCTATTTTAAAAAATAAAAAAAGAGAGACAATAACTTGGGGGAAAAAAAAACCCCAAAATCAAACAGGAAAAAAGAAGTGAAGCATATCTTGAGCTGGCTGAGTTCTGGGAAATAAGGAAAGAAAACTGCCAGAATTTCTATTGCTTCAGAGAGGAGCTTGAATGGCTGCATCCTGAAATTTCTCCAGAGGCTGCAATTATTCTTGTAAGGAGAAGTGCTGTGATCTTAAAAAACCTGATCACAAAATGGAGGAGAGAAGTGCAGCTTGAGAGAGGTGAGACGAAGTTGATCTCAGGACAAGGTTTTTTTTTCAGTTGTGCCTCAAACCTGTCTTAAACAATGTGTTTTACTTTATTGTGATAATTATTTTGTATATTTCTAAAACCTCACAGGCTTGATTGTTTTTAAAGAGTGGTGCTAAGAGAGGGATTGTGGCTTCAGGCTCGCAGAAAAAAGGAGCAGCAGGTGCCGTGTAGCTAGTTTTTCTTTCTCTCAGGAAAGGTTGGGCTACATGTGCTCAGCTTCTGTTTCAAACCTGACAGAAGGAAATCTGAAGATTTTTTCATCTTGTTAAACTGCAATCAGCCAATGGTTTCCCTTTCCAAAATAATACTAGATATTATTACTGAATGTTCAGGCTTTACGTTCCTGACAAACAGGAAATATATGCCAAAATAATAGGATGTCAATCAGAAAGATAGCATCAATTTTCTGCTTTCTAAATCATCCCCACCACCTGCTGAGCCTTTGATCATCCCAAACAATTAATTTAACAGGTACATGATTAAGAAATAAATACTTCCCAGTGAACCTGCAAGCTACAGTACATATTAGCAAGTTCTGATCTTGTTCTCAGTGAAAACAAATCACTTACATACAAAAGAGGAAGAGAAGAAAAGTGCAAATAGAGTCTGTCGATCAGAGAGATCCAAATAACTGTGCATTAAAATATATCACTGTTTTGAGCTATTGTGGTGCATCAGTTTGCTTTAGGGATATACATTTGTTCCTTCAGGAACAAGTAGTGGAATGGAATTTTGCAGCTATATTAATTAAAGTGTATCTCTGTTGTGTGGAACCTTTTGAAAATGTTGACTTTAAAATTCTGAATTGAAATGAAATTCTAGAGTTTGTCATTCCCGTAGGAAATCACAACTCCTCTCAGAAAACTGAAAGTGTACTCAGCATGGTCTGAACTCTGCAAGCTACAACGCTTGGTCAGAACCTCATATGACTTTCAAACATTTTCCAAAAGGGGTTGCAGAAGCAGACCTGAACTTTCGCTGAAATGAATCCACAAAGCAGCAGGATGAAGCTCTGACTATCCCTTTGGGTAGCTACTCAAAAGCTTCACTACTTGCCGGAACCCATCCAGACCTCGGGAGTATGAGTGAATAGAGACTTTCAGTCCTTTTGAGAGATCTCTGCTATTTTCTTTTTTTTGCTGTCTGATTTGAAAGCGCTGTAACTAGAGTGTACGAGGCATTTCTGAAAGCCAAAATCTGCACCAGCCCACGCTGCAAGAGTACTGAGAAGAGGTGCAACCAGTATTTCAAAACAAATGAGGTCTGAACAGTTCTTATTTTATGAGTCTTCGTCTTAAAAGAGCAGCTCACAAAGCATCCTATTATACAATACACTTAAGGTTGCAGCACTGATACACAGACTCTCTCTTATTCAAATCAATTAAACAGGAAATACCTACTCAAGTGTACTTGACGATCTGAAACTGTCTTATCTTTGCCCAGCATCTTAACAGGGATTCTGTTAATATCCCTTAGCTCAGTCCTTAAGCCTAATGCTGGAGCTAATGACGCAACTTTCAGCTCTTACTGAAACTAATGGGTGTTTTAATGTTCAGCACTATGGAGAATTGTGTTCTGAAAAGGAAAGAATGTATAGTTCACTGGATGTCTGTTTCTGTAATGCCAGATCACAGGCAATATTTAATGCAGGCTCTTTACAATTCATACTTAATCCTAACAGCAACCTTTTTGCTGGTTTTTATACATGCTGGACCATGCTTGAAATATATGTAAGCTTTGCAGAAGATCAGAAGTTGGTGGTGTGAGGCCATTTACAACATGTGTTAGAAGACAGCAGACTAGGACTATAAACGTAGTGTTTCACATGCTGCTCCTTTAGTACCTGCTCACAAATGAATGTTATCATGCAGCTGGAATGCCGTAAATATAGAAAGGCAGAAGAATATCTTAGTGTGATGTCGACCTCCAAATAGATTCAGTGATGAATTTGGGATCAGAATAAACCAGCTCTCTAGAAGCATCATAATTTCCTTTTCCTTCCTGTGTCCTTTATGCTTTGTCCTTTCTCACACAGTTAGGTATTAAAAGTGCATTAACAGTTTTTTCTCAAAAATTATGATGAAAATTTTCCTGCTTTTGAAAAACATCTGTAGCTTTTTTTCCTTGCATCTCTTTCAAAGAGTTTGAAAAGAGTTTCAATTAGGATTTAAGCAATACACATCCAGGTTCCTAGGGACAGTTGCAAAAATTAGGGTCAAAAGCAAAGAAAATTATTGTTTTCTCTGAATCTACAGTCTTAGCAGATCTCATTGGTTCTGGGAGTCTTCTTTTGTTTTTACTCTGATGTCCCTTTCACTCACTATTTAAAGAAAAATTTATCGTGTGTCTAAACAGTCTAAACATCCATATTTAAACTTTCCTGTTTGCTGCTTGCAGTATTCTATTTAGTGGAATACACATATTTAGAGACATCAAAATCTGTTGTCATAGAAGTTTCTGAAAATTGTTGAAAGACTCAAACATTTTCTTAGTATGGTCTGCTGTCAGGAAAGGTAGATTCTTGTGCATAATCCAAAAGGCTTAACATTTACTACCATACATCTAATGCTGCAATATGCTTTCATCAAGACTAAAACTTTCTGCTAAAAGACTTTTAACATAAATTATAAGTGATTAATTAAGTGCATGGCAAATAAAATATCGCTGAAAATGTAAAGGTGACTTTTAAATAACACTCTTTTTCCTCGATGTAAACTTTATCTAGACAGTTTCCCCACTACTTATTTTTAGTGCCTTTATTGGATAACTATTCCCCAGTAGAGCAGCATATGGACATGCAGGAACTGAAACAGTTTTTCTTTAATATCTGGTAGACCTGTGCATGCCTGGAGCCCTCAAGAAAAGCCACAAAACTCTACAAACTGGCAACTGTGGGTTTGTCTGTTCTCTATTGATTCTATTTCTGGGAAAAAAAAAGAACCAGTGTGTGAATCATGTGACTACTGAACTGAGCAAGTACTCACCAGCAGATAAAGCTGCTGCTCTGAGACCTTTTGTAACCTACTTTTGGTTACTGCCTCAAAACCTTTTTTCTATTTGTTTCTGGACCATTTAAGTTTTTTTTTTACTCTGAGGCCAAAGTGGAAATCAGCCAACTAAGATTCCTAAAAACATTTTGGAAATTGTAAAGACATTCTCTAGAATTGCTAACAAAATTTGCCATTCGGTAATTTTATTTGAATCTAAAGAGAATTTTTTGTCTCTGGATGGTACAGAGCATTCACATCTTTCTAAGCAGAGCTGTGTTGAACAATAGACAATGGAGAGTGCTGTGCAGTTGCAGACACACTGACAAAGGGGCAGAATTTTGAGACTGATTTTCACAGGACCTTTGATTAATTTTAAGGTAATTTATGCACAATTTACAACCAATTACAGGTTGTAAATTCCACAGTACTGAAGTCAAATTTGAAAATATTTATCAGCAAGTGGTTATTTTCACTCAAAAATTAAATTCTGTTCATGCTGTCTGCTCTGTTGATATATCACAGAAGATTCAGAATCACAGAACAACAGAATGTTTGGGGTTGGAAGGGAATTCTGGAGACTGTGCAATCCAATCCCCCTGCTCAACCAGGTTCACCAGAGCAGGTTGCACAGGATCTGGTTTTGAATATCTACAGAAAAGGAGACTCCACAACCTCTCTGGTAGCCTGTTCCAGTGCTCAGTTGCACTCAAAGTGAAGTTTTTTATCATATTCAGATGGAATGCCAATTTTCAGTTAAACAAAGCTATTCCAATTAAAAAAAAAAATCAAAGAATTCTTTCTATCAAGATTCTTTCTATCTTTCTATCAATTCTTTCCCTTCCTGCTTATTCAAAGACTTTTCTAAACCCATTAGACAATGGATTTCCACCTCCTGCCTTCATTTTTCTTAGTTTGTCCTTCTTACCCTTTTGGAAATTTCTAATTCGGTCTTTTGTCACATGAGTCTTCAGCTTTCTTTTCTTCTTATTTCTTCACTTTCTGTAGTTTTAACCTGAGATATGTTCTTTCCAATGAAAATGGTTTTGCTCTGATTTTTTTCAGAAACTTGAACCACTAGTTCCATGCTTAATGTCACTTTCTTCCTTTCATCTACTTGTGCCAAGTAACTTCCTGCCAGGATTCCTACAAGATCTGGCTTTAACCTCTGCAAGGCGTCTCATGAAGTCTTCCAACAATGCTATCAGGTTAAGCTCTGCTCTCCTTCAAACCACCAGCAGCTTTCAACATCATTTGATCTTCTTTAGGTTTCATGGCTGCTTCTTCTCACTCAGTCAAAAAATACCATTATTAGAGCTTTTTCTCCGTCTTACTCCCTGTCAGTAATAACACTGTGCCAGCACTCTTCTTCTTCCACAATGTCATCACTCAGTGAAATCTGTGCTATGAGAGGAAATCAGCTGTACCACAGAATCACAAGGTTGGAAGAGACCTTCAAGATCATCGCATCCAACCTGTTCCTTAACACCTTAATTAAGCCATGGTATCAAGTGCCACATCCAGTCTTTTTTTAAACACATCCAGGGATGGTGACTCCACCACCTCCCCAGGCAGACCATTCCAGAACTTTATCACTCTCTGCGTGAAAAGCTTTTTCCTAATATTCAACTAATATTTCCCTTGATGCAGCTTTGAGACTGTGACCTCTGGTTCTGTCAGTTGCTGCCTGGAGAAAGAGACCAACTCCCACCTGACTACAACTACCCTCCAGGAAGTTGTGGAGAGTGATAAGGTTGCCTCTGATTCTCCTTTTCGCCAGGCTAAACAAGTCGAACTCCCTCAGCTGATCCTAATAGGGCTTGTGTTCCAAGCCCCTCACCAGCCTCTTCTGGATGCACTCAAGTGTCTCAATGTCCTTTCTAAACTGGGGGGCCAGAACTGGACACAGTACTTAAGGTGTGGGCCTCACCAGTGCCAAGTTCAGTGGAAGAATGACCTCCCTGCTCCTGCTGGCCACACTA